TTACCAGCTTCAGTACATGTATCAACTACAATCAAATATGCTCGCGGATCTTTACTTGCCGAGTGCCACGCGATTACCATTATTAACGCTTCCACAGCAACTTTCTCCATTCCTGGCAAGTCACTTCACAGCAGCGCAGATAACACGTGACCTACCCAGATGATCGTGTTCATATTTTCATCGCTTACCTCGTAACACGTTGAGTAGCGTCTGAGAGGGCGATATCTTCGAAAACAGTTTCGTGTGCATGCGCATGTGTGCGCTCTTACATGCAAGTACAGAATCCTCTATCCTCACTGTCACAATTCCCACAACAATATATTGACTTCAGTCTCTTCTAAACTTTCCTTTCCCTTCTGTTCCTGTTGCTAAGGTAACACAGCCGTCAGCCAAAGCAGTAAACTGGCTTTCTTCAGGGAATGTCCTAATTTCCTGCAAACTTTTCCCTTCTGTTCTACGAGTGCACACATAAGCTTGCATGCACAGGCATACAGAGAGAGATGCGCACATATTCAGATAGACACACCCCTGTACCCATGCACATGAGTGTGCACGTGCACACGCATCCCTATACAACTATAAGACAGTGGGCACGCATGTTTACCTCTGCATGGTACGGGGGTCCTGAGTCCTCATGACTACATAACAAAGTGCTGGGAGTCCACCCAGGTGAACTGCTTGCCTGCAGAAAACAATCATTAAGTGGAAATTATTTTCCTACACTTGCACATAATAACACACACTGAATGACCAATATGTTAAATGAAGATTTCCCAAACAAAAAAGGTCTCTGCCATCATTTGCTTTTGAAAATATAGGATCATCTTATATTCAAAAACAATGGAAAATCTCTCATAAAATTTTCTACTATTTCTGGGAAAACAGGAATCTAACAATTGTAGCACACCTCAAGACTCGCATGTCTGTGGAGTACCGCATTAATATAAAAACATTTCAAGAAACAGTAACCATGACATTTTAATATGGTGTTATTACTGCTAGTACTGAATATTCATGTACACTTTATTTTGCTCATTTCAAGGGTTCCATTTCTCAAGCATAACTAACAAACTAACAAACCAATCAATGAACTAACCAACTAAACTAACTCCAAGAAACAAAGTCATTCTTGAGAGGTTAATAATACCCTCAGACGGTCAAGAAATTACAAATATTTTATGCAAACCAAAGATTCATCACTCTACACAAAAGCCTGCCACCAGTCCTTACCCCGAGCCAAGTAGGGCCCACTCACCCAAACGTCTTTCAAGTGGTCTCTACCCTTTGTGTTATTCAACCAAAATTTTGCAAGCATTTCAGAGTTTTTCTATCGCCTGGTGCAGGTATGCAGTTCTAAGTTCACCACATTTATTTTCTGTATCATTTTGAAAGTGTAAATTTCTTCTCTGCTCTCCCAGTATTCCGTAAAAAGTACAAATTACAGCCTCCCACCGTTCATTCCTTGTATACAACAAATTCCCTCTAAGAAACAAGTCTCTACATAAACACACATCCTGATTAAATCACCAATTTACTGTTCCTTGTGAATGCAACTACAGACCAAAGCAGTTGAAACCAACTAAGGTTTGCAAAAAAAGTGAAGATATGTTCGGTAACACTGTCGAGTGTTAACTTTTGCATACATCTTCCGAGTCGTTCGACAAATTCTGAGGGTATTACACCAGTACCAAGTTCCACTCAATTTAAGGCCCATATTACTGAAGAGCCTAAATAAATTTTGGGGGCTATGTCACTAAGTATGAAACAGATAGAAAAAATGCTCTAAATAAACCTACATGGATCCATAGACATATGTGATACATCTTGTATAATATTTACACAAAACTCACTAATATTAAAAAAAATAATAATGCACAGCACTGAAAGTGTGCGATCACCGTGCCATGTGATTTAAAACAGACAACATCCATAACTGAAACCCAATTTCTACCCCAAAGGCGCATTAACCGGCTTCCTGAAATATTACTTCATAATTGTCATTATCACTTCAAAGCATTTTATCAGTTTTTACACATATTTCATGAGTACCATATCATATCATGTTATCTATCATTTGCTATCAATTTTAAACATTACACATCATTACCACACCACGCCGTCACCTGTTAAGGGACAGCCACTCATCCAGCTAATTTACTACACACCAGAACTTTTTTTAAAAAAGGGCAGGAGTAGGGGGACAGCATCAGTATCTGTTATAAGATAATCGTATCATAAATTAAATTGACATTTATCTAATTCCTGAATTCCAGTATCACATATACTTATGCAGTGACTGAAATAAATAATATCTGTTGAACAAATAAATTAAATTAAATCAAGTACATTTCTGGCATTCACTGAAGTGAAGAGTTACTAATAAGATAAGCAAGTCTTGGAGATCAAAGAGACATGTTACTATCTTACCACTATCATTAACTACTCCACTGCCATTACAAGACAAATAACACCAAGTTAACAGACTCTAATCCAGATAACATGGAATTACCGCAATTATAAACTACAAAATTATAATACGTACGAAAACTTTCTAACTTTCTGGAACAAATTATGAACATGTATAAAATCTTACATTCCAAAACAGAAGTACCCAAAGGCAAGTCCAAGGACCAGACCAAAGGCATGTCGAGTGGCAGGGCTGGTGGTGGAGGGGTGAAGACTATTCCTGAAGAGGGGTGCGCAGGCCAGAGCCAGAACTTGACTTATGACAAAGTTTACCTGTTAAAAAGCACATTACTGTGTACTTAATGCTACAGTTAACAACATCACCACTGTGGGTGGAGCAATTCTGTTTCACAAGAAACAACGGCTTACATTATAAATGAAATACCAAAATTTGTCAAATATTGCATATTGCCTGAAAAAAATTTAAAACTTCTGTCTGGCTGTCATTGCACTATGCCAATGTGTGTACATATACACAGCAGCAAAGCAACATTTAACCCTAGTACTTTTCAATCCAATTATAACAACATTATGGCTGTATTAACCTGTGAAGCAGAATTGACACTAGTGCAAACATAACCTTAAAATGATATGGTAATAAATCTCCACAAATATACACAACTTTTGATTAAAGAATTTCTTCATATACCATAAAACAACAACATGGCTCCTGTGAGAAGAATTTCATGTAAATTTCAGTGTGACAGTATATATCTAATAGAGGCATAAATATGAAACTGTATGAAGACATTATACACATTCCTAAAAATTATGAATATAAACTGTTTATACGTTGATTTGCGTTTGTAACAACAACAATCTGCAATGTATTTACAACTGCAAGTGCTTTACGCAAGTAGGACTCAATCCTGACACACAAGGCATCAGCCCAACATCCTAATCTATGAGATACACTTCATGTAGCTGTTATATTACACTACACTGATATATATAACAAAATAATACAATTAAACAAAAACGACTTGTAAGACTAGAATTTGGAGTAGATATTTTTTTTAATTCTCCCCAAAACGTTTTTGGAGTCTTTAACCTAATATCTTACTTAACATATTTTGACAGTTGCTACCAGGTACGAATTTCTTATGGATCTTGAATCACGCGCCAGTCCACTGTTACAGGTGACTGTGCAGTTATATGGCCTTAATAAATCAAATGGCACATACCGATACACACATCATATAAATTTTGTAACTACACTTCTGTAATGTGAACAGTTCGTGGCGATGTTATTCTTCAACACACAAACCAATGAAATCACCTAACAAACACAAGAATTGTGCATATTTATGGAGTCACTTTACAGAAACACTATTACTAAAAACCGAGACTTCACATTTGCTATGTATGTGCATTCTACGTACCTGATCCAAAGGAAGACCAGACAAATCAGAAACCCAACTGAAAATCCGGCTCCCCTCATAATACACATCAATTTCAGGAGCCATGTCGAAAGGTACTCTCGCCAGTCATTGGCAGGTTACACAGTTACAGCGCAGTGAACGTTCATTGCGCGAAAGTTCCCTCTAGCAGGCGTGGTTCTTGTATAATACAAGTGGGTGGGGTTACCAATTGTATGGCGTGAGGTGGTCATCAGACTAGTATAATTTCTCGATTACATCACTCTCTATTCTGGTGTTAACAGGAGAGTGGAGAAAACGGCTTAATGAGGAATTTCATAATTTGCACTCTTCACCAAATATTAGGTTGATAAAAAATATGAGAAATGCGAAGTCACAGTCGGAAACCCTGAAGCGAAGATACCACTTGGGTGTTGATGGTAGAATGATATAAAATTAACATTTAAGAAATAAAGCGTGACGAAGTAGACTGAACCCATCAGGCTCATATGAACACGGTAATCAGTCTTTGGATTCCATAAACGGCTAGGAACTTACAAACAACTTTCAAACTGGGCGATTATTAGTTTGACAAGAAACATTTTCGTTTGGAAAATATGGAAGTTCTCCATTTTTAGTTCCGGCGCCTACATTTTTTTAAATACTTCCTTGAACGTCATGTTATTTTTGCAGTAGTATGAGTCCAGGTATTTGCATTACAGATACATTCAAAGGCCCGAAATTACTATTCTGTGCACGTTGTATCATTAAACATTTACTATACCTCCAAAACCACAACACTGAAGATTTCACATAAAAGTATTATATTACCGTGTTCTATATCATATGCACAACTGTTTCTACAATTAGCCTTTTTTCTTTTTCGAAATTCGATAAAACTCAATTTGTGGTGAATGTAGATCGATATGAGCAAAATCAAAATCACCAAACAATTTTATTGCAAACACCAAATACCTAAATCGAGGTCAGTCGAAGGTGCAGATGAAGACTGCAGGTTCCTCAGAAATAACCTACAAGAGTACACAGTGTAACAAAAGATCAGAATCCAAACTTCTGCCATGAAAATCTCAAATCTCATACCAGACCAACATTATACCTCAAATAATATAGAATATACTTGCAGGCAGCCAAACAGGTTTTGAACACATGAAACACTTTCATAATTCATCTGCAATAATATGCAACATTTATCGCTAAAAATCACACTGTACAGGTAAAAGCATCTGACAAAACTTTGCATTATGTACAAGCAAAACACGAGGATCAAAGCACATTACCAGGATACAACATTATGGAGGAAAATAGGGAACAAAATTTATTGATTTCTATGAACATTTGCATTTAGAGAAATCTGTAATTCAGACATTCATAATTTCTTGCCTCTTTTCACAAACAACAAATACTTCTACAATTTAATTATGAGATTCATAAAAGTCTTCATTACAACTGTATCACATAGAACAGCAAAACATTTCTTATCTAGTTTCTAAAAGATATTTAATTTCATTAACATGTCCTATGGACATGGAAGATCTATGGACCCCCAGAACTGTGACTAGCTCTTACAAGAAGTTTCTTCTAACATGTTGAAACACACTACAAATATAATGTTGTCACATAGTGACAATCAATAATTTCAATGAAATCACTAATAATACCATGTGTTTTTCATATCATACAAAATGTACACAGTGACTTCTCAAATATTCTATGTAAAAATATACAGCAGCAGTCAAGGATTACCAACCAAATGACACTGCTTGATCTGACATTGTTCACAGATAAAACATAAAAATTGAACAACAGAAAATCGCAACTTCTCTGACCTTCGTGTTCATTTTATCTTGATCTTGTGTAACTTAAGTTTGAAACCCAGCATTTCTGACAGAACCCCTGACAGAGCAGATAGAATCACTACCTTGGTGATAGTGTACAAGTATGGATTAGCTGACAGGCCTGATATCTTGAATGGGCTTTCCAGTTCCTGCAATATGTTAAACCCAAATTTAGAACCGATTATATCTGCAACAGGAAGGCTTGAATGAGAGCAGATGCCACACACAGAGTTACAGCAAAGACACTTTTGTTGTAAGATCACTAAATCGACTTCACTGTTCAAGGAAAGAATATTTGTGGGGTTTTTATATTACTTCTGCCAAAAGTCATATGTTGAAGTTATTCTGGCAACAAACAAATTAGTGAAGTGATACAGAAATTGCTAGGGTGAGTCATGAAAAAAGGATAAGTGATGGAGGCCTCCTGAGAGACCTATCCAATAATGGCAGCCTTATACCGTAACGGGATTTCTTGACCAGAACTATGATACGCTCAAGGAAGAGCCTGCCTAAACCAGGGAGTTAGTGATGCTGATGGCCGTCTTTATCATGGTCGTCAAGCTGTCAGAATTTGGGATATCTCTCAGCTGTCTTAACAACCTCTTCAAGTCATCCTTCACTGGTTGCCTTTCATCGTAAACTTGGGAAGTCTGTCTCTCTTAAACCATTTCCCCACAACATCCCAAAAGTAATAAAATCCTCTCGTGCAACAAGCGGCGTCAACGTGGAGCCATGACATCATTCCTCGATGATAGAGACTAAGAATGTCTCTGAAACGTTCAACTACAACTCCAGTTTGACACGGCTTGTTGCCCTAGAGGATTTTATTGTATTCAGTCATCACAAAAGCCTCAAGTCAAAAGAAATCAAATCTGTCTAATGAAAATCCAGTCTGTTGTGCATTCAAAATGCCACTGTCCATTTTGCATTTTTTATGTATACTTTACGGTCTGTTTCGTCAATTTCATATCAGTGGCTGAGACTGGATTTTTTTTATATTTTTCTGAACATTTAATGGTGTATGATTAGTTTTGTAAAGGCATCACAAATTTGAAACTGAAAATGCAACATAGTGGAACATGGAAAATTTGTCATATTTTTGCTTTCACGTAAGTTGCTTCCAGTGGTGTAAATGAAGGGGGAAAAATGTCAAGCATGCCACTACACTAAAGGCTAAGTACCTTCTACAGATTCAAGTGAGCGACAAGTTCTGAAAAAGAATAAAAAGGATACATTTAAAGTAGCATTAAAAAGATACATAAATTCACACAGCCTTTATTCTGTTGATTAATTTCTGCAGTTTAAAGAGGAATCATAATCCTTTCAGGGGTTATTGTACTTACAGTATAGTACGGTATAGCGGGGGATTTAGTGGAACATTTTCACGTTAAACCTTTGTCATTTGTGAAACTTGCTCCACACCATAGACTCAGCCCAACTAATTTTTGGATCCAAAGAATGTATATATGGATGAATGATAAAGCATTACATACCTTAAGCAGATCCGCAGCCAATTTTAGAACACTGTTTGCAACCATTAATTCTTCCTTCTTGTTAGGTTTCTGTTCAATTTGCAGATACAAGTTGATCTGCAACATGAGGCCTTATGGTACAACATTACGCACATATTCAAAATACAGCGTTATTACATTTTAAAGTGATCTATTTTATGTCGTGTGCGAACTTTTACTTTTTTATACTGAAGTGATACAAATTAAAATAAAATTTTCAAAACAACTTTTCCTACAGTCACCCAACAGCAGATTTCACCTCAAAATTATGTGTTCACTTAAAGAACATACAAAAAGTCTCCTTTCCACAACTGCAATCCACCACTACTTCTAGAATAACAAATTTCCATTCCATCATGACATACCTGTTCTGTTATTAGAACTGAAAGGTTACGGTACTTGCGGTTGATCTTGGTGCCCAGTGTCATGAACCGCAGTAAAAACACGCCCAACACCAAACACCACACCAGTGCCTCCAAGTTATATTCCGAGTGGAGACGAACAGAGTCCTGTGAACATTAGAACCAGAAGCATGCTCTTCATAACGAGTTATCAGATTCAGTTACTACCAACACATGCATGAAAAAGGCAATGTCAGTCAGCTAAAGAAATGTGAAATTCTAAGAGGAAACAATGTTTAAGAGAAGGAAGATTTAATTAATTTAAAACAGACATAAGCAATATAAATATTATATTCTTAGCTTTCAAATGAGAAATGTTATATCAACATTTTGTATATTTTCAACTACTACCTCACGCGCGCGCGTGCGTGTGTGTGTATGCCACAATGTTTCAGGTGTGCCACTAATTTTTATTTGAAATTGTATTTTTGCATATTATAACTAAAAAAAGGCAATTATTTTATTTTTCATAATTTAAACACAGAGGTTCATTACTGATAAGTTTATTCAACAAGTATTATGTTTTGTTTTCATATGTCGGCACACTTCAGGAGCAAGGATTTACATGCAGATACGTATTTATGACAATGTACATGTCCCATTTTGTGATGCAAAATTGTGTGATGTTTTCATGTGTCTTTGAAAAATGTGGATATGCTGCACGTGAAAAAAGTTTGCCCAACACCGCTTTAAAACACCTAAATTTCCACAATTTATGCGCTAGGAAGAGTCATAAACATGTCTTCTTAGTCAGTGTTTTGGTATTAATATTGTCCCTCTTTTCTTGTAACTGTTGGAAATTGTGTTCCTACTTGAAATTTAACAGATTTCCTTCTGTTTAGTGTTGCTTTACCACATTAAACTTTGTTTAATAAACTTTTGGTTACACTTAATTATATTTTAAAATAACTATGCTTTTGGTGTTACTAGCCTTTTGTATACCATAATTATATACTTTTTAATGTAATTTATTGTTATTTTTGTCAAAAAATTAGTTTTGATATATCATTAGTTTGTACTGTCTGTAACTGGCCATTTGGCTGCAGAAGCAGAACACCAAAATAATGGCTTCAATCATCACTATCACTGGCACTGCACCATAATCATCATCATCACCACCACCTTCACTGAAATTCTTTTTGCAGGCATGTACAGAATGGAAAAAACGGACTGCATTACACTGATCTTCAGAAATTATGTACGGATTTTCCAAACTCTAGGTTATTTCGTAGTGACAGTCAACCCTTCATCAGTAGTTCATTTATCTCTTAGTAGATGTCACTGATCTACTTAAAACCGACGAGCTACGTATCATGACAAAAAATATTTCAGAGTAATGTGTAGTTAAGACAATAAGACAGAAAACATAAAATGTAATAATCATGAAGTAAAAGAAAGGAAGTGGAAAGCTTAAGAACTCAGAAAATAAAGTGGCAAATGGAACTATGTTACATGAACAATTTCAGAAAGAGTAAAAAGTGCAAGAACATTTTACTGATTAGTTAGGGACATATTCTGGAAGTGCCCGAGATGGGGGGGAAAGTAGTCTACTTAAAATTTACTACATGCCCACATTAACGTACGGAACTTGGACAAACACCAAAACAGATATTAAGAAACCAACAGTAGCAAACTTTAAGCAGTACAGTACCAGGCACCTTGTGAGGAAGCCTGGAAGGCTTTTTCAATTTTAGGATTTTCTAAATCTCTATGCACAGGAATTTCAAAAAGCGAAGCTAGTATGGAAAGGGTTTTAAGAATGAGGGAAAAGAAAAGGTTTAGAACATGAAAATAAATAAAAACACTTGAGAGGGAGACTGAGATCAAGATGGGAAGAATAGGCTAGGAGATAAATCACATGATGAGCAAAGTGACAGATGACAATTAAGACTTCTGTCTGTTTATTATCATCATATCCTGCGGGTGTAGGGCCATGTACGCTGATTGCTGTTGTAAGCGCGGTTGTAATGATGTTATCAGCTGTCAGCTATACATGATACACATTAAACCATGTTATGTTATTATTTTTTATTTTAGACTTTCAATTCTCTCACAAGAAGAGACTTTAAATCACAGCAAGACACAATCTGGACAATTGGATTAGCTGAATTAGAGGGTCAGTTCAATGACCAATGTCCTACTCACGAAGGCGGAGCTTCGCAATCCTGTCAGTTCCACGCCTACATGTGGTATAATAATGTCGACACTGACCTTGAGGCATTCCACACTGAGAAATGAGAGCAGCAACAGCGTGATCAGGAAGGCCGCTGACACTATCACGTCCACCGACCGTTGTGGCCCACGCTTCTGGAAGTACAAGAACCACTTACATTTACAGCAGTTGTGTGATGCGCTGCACAGCGCTAAACTGCTTTATTACTGCAAACCAAAAACAATGAAGACAGTCAAAATAAGATTATATACCAGTACATATACAGAAAGATGTGCATATCTTGAAACTACAAAAGGCCTACTTTTCTTTTCATTACCACAGGTACTTACTCTTACGTACTTCCTCAAAAAAATACCACACAGTACATGTTTATGTTTTTGTTACTCAAATCACGAGAGATAAGTTCACTGAATTCCACACATCAAAACAGTGTATTGATAACTGCATGATTTGCAGGTTATTTAACGATGTTGTTTCAACTGCTAAGCATCAAATGAGATAGGAAGATGATTATGAATGGTGAGTGGGTAAGAACTTGCAAGAAGGCAGTCATGGTCTCAAGAGTGCCGTCTTCTGGGTTGTTGCGTTGTGTAGTCTGGTCGATGTTAACCAACGTTTCAGAGGTCATACTGCCTCCATCATCAGGGCAGGAACAGGAGAACTCATCACTTCTCGCTCAGAATTCAGTTTGCTTAAGGACTATTTTACGTATGCAACACGAGTGCCAGGCTGACATTCTTTTGAGAACATAGTGTCACAACTGAGAGACAGATTTAATAGGCAAGCTTCCACCCAATGAGAAGAGAGCAAGACCACAGAAAGTGTCCTGTGTGTCAGCAGTGCAGACAAAGGAAGACACTGTGTACTGGTGATATGCATGGAGTGTTTTTAAGAGTTCCAAGCTCAATTTCTAAGAGATTAAAGACCACTCTTTGATAATTTTCATGGGTTTACTGTGCCAAAATTCTAAATAGTTTGCCATCACTATTCCAATTCTGTGTACTTCTCTTACCGCAATGTCCAAATGATAAGTAAATAAGCATTTCTTCCTGATGTAATGCCGTTAAAATGAAATGTTATATTTTAAAGCTCA